TATGTGTGTGTGTAATATATATTGTATTTTGTAAATTATATTTTTATAGTATATATAATTTGTTTTACTATAAACACATTTCTGTTATATATATATAAAAACATTTACAGGCAAATTGGGCACATTTTATTTACGATATGCACATCCCTAAAATAAATAAGCACATCAATGTCTTAGCAATTTAAAGAAGAACTCCAGGATTTTCAAAAGTTAACCCTTGCAGTGGGGTTAACTATTCGTTTTGGTCTAGGGAACAGAATAAAGAAGAAATACTCACCCGATCCTTGATCCTGCGGTACTCAGCGCTCACCTCTCTCCCCCTCCAGAGGGCTGTCGTATGTGCCTCAGTGTCTTCACATCTAATAGACCTGTTAGATGTGATGATGTCACGGGTCCATAGACCACTAGAACCCAGGGGGAGTGCACGGTTTGCCACATTGCAAGGGTTTAGAACACTTTTGCCTAGAGCTCTTTAATTCCACAGGAATGTATTCTCATGGGATTTCGGATTCTCAGCTTCACCAGAATCCTGCAAGTCCCATTGATGTCACTCTCACCTCGGTGAGCACAGCAGAAGCTGGGGTGTAAGGTAAGTATTATTTCATTACTCTTCCAATGTTTTATAGCTTCTCTGATTTCAGTTAACCTTTTGTATTTGGGGGTGGGGGGTATAAGGTAAGCATTTATATACAAGGTCCACTTTAATTACACCTGTCTTGTTGTCATCATAGATTCACCAATGTGCTGGAAACATTCCTTAGGGATTTGAATCTATGCTGACTTGACAGCATCAGCATTTCACCACCACCACTGGCTTGAACCATTGACACAATACAGAATGTATACATGACCTTAACCTATGAACGCCACATTCTGACCCTACTACCTGCATGTCACAGCAGAAACTGAGATTTATCAGACCAAGCAACATTTTTCCAATCTTCCAATTTTAGTGATCTGCAGCCTTGGAAACAAATTTGTTTTTATAGTATTGGGTTGTTGGCATCATGCCCAACCCTTGACCTGAGGTTATTGCAGAAGACCTTCCCAGCACAGGTGACACTAGTAATGTAACTTACTGTAGTTATATAGCTAGTAAGGTTGAAAAAAAATACACAAATTCAATGAGCTTAGCTGAAAAAAAACACAACAAGCACCCTTCATCCTCAAAATCCTAAACCTGCAGTTGATCTAAGGGAAGGCAGGCAAAAAACGATTGTAAGAGTGGTCCAGTTTGCTATTCTTGGTTTTTTCTGGGTTCCTATTTCTGGGTTCCTCTAGGTACCTAATTCTTATACAGTACCTGCAGCAGGTTTTATGTTTTTGTTCTAGAGTCTGTTTAGGTCTAAATGAATATTATAGTTAAAAATATGGATCAAATAATACCCAAATCAGAAACGTGGTGTACGGTACTATGTTTTATGGCTAGCTAGCGGAAATCCTGGCAAGACTTGAAGGAACAAGGACTCTTTATAAGGCAACATTCCAATAAAGGAGCTTTATGCCTTGAAGGCTTGATTTCGTTTTTACTACAGTTAGCTGTTAAATGTATTAGTCCCCTAGCCAAACTACATGGACACTTCTCAGTCACGTGAGCTACACAAGCAAAATCACCCACCTAAAAGATGACTATTTGTCACAATTAAATCATCTCAAAGGGTGACCATAAGTGAAACATTTGAGGGTGAATTCCGCTGAGTGCTTTCCCTTTATGCATGTTAAGTCAACCCACAAAAGTAAAGTTCAAAATGGCCACACTACCACTGAAACAGTTTTAAGGGAGCCCGTTGGCATATGAATATAGGAGTTGTCCTTGCAAGCTAGAAGACCATTATACTGATCTTAGCTACACCAGCTAGTCTGTCATTGACATAGAGCAAAAACATACTTCACTCAGGAATAACCTTCGTCGTAGAACTTTACAAATAAGCCCATTTCTGATGAGTCACAGGCACCAGAAATGGGGACTTGGGTGGATGCAGTAATCACTGAAAAAAATAAAGTTTTATGCAAAGTAAGTGTTTGGTATGCAGCCTCCATTTCTTTGGATGCTGGGAAGTTAAAGCAGTATGCAACCCTCATTTATTAATTGTTATTTTCCGCTAGCTCCATCTTATTATGTGCACGTGCAATATCATTTCCTTTCATTTGGCTCCAAACCACACACACTTTAACTTTTGTGAAGATCTTTAGGCCTCATTCACACATAACGCAAGCAAAATTGTATATTGCGTCTATACGCGTCTATACGAGCGTCTATGCGCATATATATATGAGCGTATATGCGTATACTATATGCAATCCCATAATGGATCACTCGTAATGGAATTTTTAATGTGCTGTACGTATGTGCGCGTAAACACGGGTATGTGCGCGTAAATACGCAGCAATACGCTGCCCGGACGCATCTCTGTTCCATTCTGTTTTTTTGCATGTGTTGCATATGGTACAATACGCGCGGCAGTGTGAATGAGGCCTTACACTGTATAAATCTTGGTGCCACTTCCCCACTTCAACGAGCGCACACTGTAAGACCTCATTCACACACAATGCAAGCAAAATTGTATATTGCGTATATACGAGCGTCTATGCGTATATGCGTGCACTATATGCAGTCCTGGAATGCATCACTCGTAATGGAATTTTTTATCTGCTGTACGCATGTACGCGCGTATGTGCGCGTAAATACGCAGAATTACGCTGCCCGGACGCATTTCTGTTATATTCTGTTTTTGCGCATATATACGCTACGCAAATATACGGCTCCATTCACGGCTGTGTGTATGGAGCCATTTATTTGCATATGTTGCATATGGTACAATACGCGCGTATATGCGCGGCAGTGTGAATGAGGCCTAAGTGCCAATTCATCTGTGCCTGTTTGTAATTGACATACTTTCCCCTTCTGGAAATGGAGCCAGCTGTCAGCTGGTGGTGAGTTGGACAGAGCGTGGCTTTGAAAGGACTCCTTCCCTCCTGCCTGTGCTTTAGGGGCACAGAGCACTTGTGCATTCAGATTTCACCCCAAACAGGAGCATGCACGTTAGGGTGGCTACACTGGCCCTCCAGGGAGACCCTACAAGGTCGCATAGCCACCCTAAAGGTAGTAAGTGTTCTTTCCAAGTGTTTGAAGAGTTAATTTGACTGAAAGAAAGGTCAGAGACAGATTTTGGAAAACAAATAACCAATAATGGGAGGTATGCTATTACATTTTATTATTCGAGGTTTTAAGAACAGTGAAAGGCAGTGAAAGGCGGCTGAGGAGATAGGCTGCACCCTGAGTGGAGCAATTCTATTGCTGTAATGCTTGCTTCAAATCAGTGAGTCTCTTGGTTGGCAAGCCAGGTGGAAGATAAGGGCCCTGTAGAACGCACCATTAAAAACCAGTAAGCGTTGGTGTCACTAGCACTGTGCACCCGAGGCACATGTCCCACATCTCCTGCCGTGTGGTCTGGGTCCCTATGCGGCGACCACCCACCACTACAACAGCCAGTGTCATACCCCACCTCGCTGACTGACAGGGCAGTAGAATCCAGAGCCAAGGGTAGCTTCCCTAGGCTCCTCCTCGGCTCTCGCCTGTCACATGACAGAAGTCGAAAGGAGCCTGAGAGTAAACCCCTTTCTTGCTGAACTGCATCTGAGGTCCAGTGATTTCTGGGAGGGAGGGGCAATTGTGTTGGGGGGCATAATGCTTAGGGGGGAGATTTTTGCTGGGTGAAGATTTGTGCTGGGAGAGGAAAATTGAGGGAGGTTGGTGCCTGGGAAGGGGGTGGACAATGACAAAGACTTGGATTTCAGGAAAGGGTGGATAATTGTGCGGAGAGGGGAGGGTTAATTTAGCATTTTTGTTTGGGGGAAATTTGACTTTGTGCTGAGGAAGGGGGTTGGTTTGGGGTGTTGAGCATCCCGATTAATGCTGTACTTTTTGGCAGGGATGGGGGATTTTTATTTTAGAGGGGAAAGTGGCGCAGAGTATTGCTTATGGGGGAATATTGCACTCCCCTGACCCCTGCACTTTGCGCAAAACTCCCTACACTCTGCGCAATATGTAGTCCTGTCCCCTGCATGTTACACACTCCTGTGAGTTATATACCCCTAGCCACTGCACTCTATCCGTTACGTACACCTAAACCTCTGCACGCTGTGCATTACCTACGCCTCACCCCTGCACTCTGCACACCCCTGATACCTGCAAGTACTATACAGCCCTGCACTATGTGCATTACACATTTCTGACACACGTGCTCTGAGCATTATGAACTCCTAAACCCCTGCACTCTGCATATTATGCACCCCTGACCCCCTTAACTCTGTGCATTATTCACCCATGCACTTTGTGCATTGCACACCCCTTCCACCGGAACTCTGTGTTGTACATACTCCTGACCACTGAGCTCTGAGTGTTAAGTACTCTGGACTAGGAACCAACCAATTATCGGATCTAATATTGATTAAATGTACTGATGTTACAAAAAAAAACATTGTGCGAATTTCACTGTGTGAAATTCGCACAGTAGGTGCCGCTGTGTGGCCGGCATCACTCGATCAGCTGATCAGCAAATCTATGTAGGAACAGAGCTGACGGCTTTGTTCGGGTATTCTGACATACTAAAAAAAGCAGCAGATAGCAGGGGAAGCAATAGCCAGAACTTTCTCCATCAGGTCCGCTCCTCTGCTGATTGACAGCAAGCAGTGGGCCAGCCTGCTATTGCAATTTGAAATAGCCAATAGCAGGCTGGCTATTCTACTCCCACTGCCTGCTGTTTACATTCAGCTGCCAGCTGCGGAATCCTGCCACCGGCAGATGAATGGGGTGGGAGGCAGACGCTAGGAGTCGACCGATATCAGGCGAATGCCTGCTGTTAACATTCAGCTGCTGGCGCAGCTGGATGTAAACAGAATATCGGTTATAATCTTGAAAGGTGGCTCATAATCCAGGGCTGTTTGCTGCCAGCAGCTATGGCCAGCGGTGTGTTACACACCACTGGTCCCTATACTCTGTGCATTAAGAAGTCCTGACCCCTGAGTTACACACAACTGATCCGTGCATTATGTGCGTTACATACTCCTGACCCCTGTACATTACACATACCTGACCACTCTGTGCTTTATGTACCACTGACCCCAGCACGCTGTGTGTTACAAATCCTTGGCCCTTGCTTAACATACTCCGCACCCTGGTACTCTGCGTGTAATGCACTCCTGATCCCTGAACAGGGTCCTGGCCCCTGCACTCTGTGCATTACATACTCCTGACCCCTGCACTCTGTGCATTATGTATTCTTGACCCCTACACTCTGTGCATTATGTATTCCTGACCCCTGCACTCCATGCATTATTACACATTCCTGACACCTGCACTCTATGCATTATGAACTCCTGACCCCTGCCCTCTGTGCATTACATATTCCTGACCCCTACCCTCTGTGCACTACATACATTTTTCTATAGTGGGGAAAGACTTAAAAGCACAATTTTAAATATTGACATCTGTGTCCCTAAGGCAACCTCGGCACTCCAGTTGTGTTGAGCCTACAAATCCCATCATGCTTCTTCCTCTGGGAGTCATGCCTGTGGCTAGGAGAGTCCTGCAATGCCTCCTGGGACTTGTAGTTCCACAACAGCTGGAGTGCCGAGGTTGCCTACCCCTGCCCTAAGGGGAAGATACACAGCAGGAAGTGAGTGAAAATCTCACCCTTGATATCTGCGTCCCAAATGGAAAAGATTTCCCTTCACTTCCTATTCCAGAACCACAGCAGGAAATGGGAGGAAAGCTCACCTTTGACAGCTGTCAACAGAGAAGGTGTTTACAAACTGGAAATTCCCTCTCACCTCCTTGACAACCAGTTCCAGGACAGCAAGTGACAACAAATCTTCCCAGTGCAAAATAAAAACGAGTTATAACCATTTTGTCTCTATCTAAAACATCTAGAGTGCTACTTTAACAATGTTATTGACACTCCTCTCTGACTGTCACTTCCCCCTCAGAACCTTCTGAATTCAATTTTACATTACACTTTATTACCCCGCACAGCCAGCACTTGGGACACAAAGTGAGTGACTCAAGTTGTCATGTGACACTCACTTCAGAAAAGGGACACACAGGTCCCCTCACACTCCTATATACAGGCACCTGAGAGGCACCTCCCCGCTGTGACGTCACATCCTCTCCAGCACTCACCTGGGCTCCGGTCACCGTCTCTTCCCCGTGCTCTGACATGCTGCCGGTGTGTAGCTGTGTGTTGCCCGGGTTCCGGGAGCTGCGCGCGCAACCCCCGCCTTGTACCGGCAAATACAAAACACATACAGCTGACTGTCACTGCCGGGTCACGTGGTGCGAGCCTTTAATAAGGAACGCACGTGATTCTGGGGGTGGAGTGCACACTTCATTAAACTTTGGGGGATAAAGACTTTCTTCTTTGGCAGTGTGCATTCCTCACCCGGCTATGTATACTTTATGTATGGTGCCACAGAGCGGAGATAGCATTCCAAATGATTTTAAGAAACTGTTTGATGCTGAAGCAGTGTCAAGTCTTTACAAGTGGTTTTCCTGCACTCTGATGGAATTCTATTCCGCCATAATTCCACTGGGGGAAAAAAAGCCCATGTCCCTTTTTTTTTTTTTTTAAGCTTAAGACATCTATCGACAATGCTTGGATGCAAATGGGCCCCTCCTTGTTGAGTGTTGTCATGCATAGGGAAACGTGCAAGAGAATGTGAATGGGGCTTTGCAGGTCAGATGGGCGATTTTGTAGCAACAATTCCTCGTCGCTATGAAACTCTATTGCCAGTGATTAAGGCCCCATTCACACTGAGCGATATGAAAATTGCGCGATTTTCCGCAAGCGATATTGAGCGACTTGTTCCTATTGGGCTGTATGCAATCAGGAGCTAAATCGCTAAAAAAAAGGGTCATGTAGCAGCAGCAAGCTACAGCGACGAGCTACAAGCGATATTGAGCGACGAGATGTGAACAGCTCCATTGAAATGGATTGGGGAAGCTACATAGAGTGATATCGTGTGGAAATATGAGTGATACCGCTGCAAAAATCGCTCAGTGTAAATGGGGCCTAAGGCTCTGTTCACACCAGCAGCATGCTCTACAGCACGGCTACTGGAATGCACTGAAGGGAAGCGGTGCAATTAGCTGATTTCAGTGCATTGCATGTTTTTGTCTTCAACTATTGAAATTACATTTCTTTCAGTTCGATTCACCTGTCATTGCGATGCATGCTGCAGGGAAAATAGTACTGCATGTGGTCAGGGCCGCTGATAGGGATGTACAGGCAGTACTCCTGAATTGGGCCCGAGCCACATTGGCTCAGCAGGGAAGCCCAGTAGGTGCCGCCTGTCTCAATTCTATGAACTGTATTATTGTTTGTCATATTTATACAAAGTTTGACCACGCTTCCTAATATTGTGGCATTTCATTGTGTTATGCAGTGGGGTTGATCGGGGGCCCAGCATGTAGTACCGTCTTTCGGCGCACACCGCCAGTGTGAACTGATTCCAAGGTGAACAAGACGGTTTGCCATGCCCAGCACAGACTGATGCATCTGGTGTGGACGGGCCCGAACAGTGAGTTGTTGCTTGCCATTTAATTGCTATAGTTGCTGGTGATTTGTTGCTATGAAGCGATTTGTCTCTGCCACAGGGTCAGGTTGGCGTTGCTACAAATCGCTCTCCCTCAGCCATTTGTAGGTGAATGCAGAGCGAGCATCACTGGTGTGAGTTACCAGTTGCTGGATAATTTGCAAGTTCCATGGGAAATTACTATGATCTTCTTAGCCAGAAATGAATTAAAAAATAAAGAGGATCGATGCACTAACAAATATCGGGATCATAAATGCAGCTTTAGGCTATTGCAGTGAGGTCATTTCTAGTTCACATGTTTAGTAAGTGGGTGACATTGGGCTGATTCCATTAAAATGTGTCAGTTATTTTATCAGCATTTATTATTTTATCTCATCATTTTCCTTTCAAAGTTATCAGTTCACATACGCAAGTCAGCGGCGGACAAAGAGAACAATTATTTTGCCCAATTCAAATACTGCCAGAGTACCAATACTCAGGGGCCCAGTTATAAAGCAGTGGTGGGGCCTTACTATGACCATACTGCTGCTTTAAAAACAAAAATGGCATAACCGTGTTCTAAGGGCCCATTCACACCATGTCCGGATCAGATGCTGTGTGTTACATTTTTCTTCCGCACCAAAATGCATCCCAATGCATTTGTATGTGATTTTTGGGCTCTGTTCACACCAGTCAAGTCCGTTCCAGTGCAGGAAAAAAAAATGCCGCATGTCACATTTTTCCTGCACTGGAACACAACAGAAGCTATGACATGGAGCAGGAAGAGATTAATTTGCATTGTGACATTACCCCCAAAAAACACACTGGAACGCGTCACAAACGCACTGCAGCGGGTTTGCAGAAACACGTGCAGATCTGGTCCAGACATGGTGTGACAGGGCCTTAAAGAGCCAATTAGAATGAATGAGTGCCCCGTCAAAGTCATGTGACTGGCCCTCTAGGGGCATGGCCCTCCATACCGTCTTGTCTTGAATTGTGATTGTAATTAGGGATGAGCCGAACACCCCCGTGTTCGGTTCAAATTCGAACTTTCGAACATGGAAAAAGTTCTAATTCGAACTTAGAACTCAATGTAAGTCTATATGGGTACATAGTTACATAGTATTTGGGGTTGAATAAAGACATACGTCCATCAAGTCCAACCCATATAGGTCCACGCATCATCTCATTCTTAGGGATACTGGTATCCCTGGATATTACGGTCCCTCAAGAAATTGTACCACAATGGCATACGATATGTTTTTGTTAGCAGCTCTGACTCCTCTGTATGACTATTACTACAGAACATCTCCCTCCTGATGAAGCATAAGCAAAACGCGTTGAGTTTCTGAAACCAGCAAATTATTTCCTACTTCTGACTATACAGATCCAACTGGCCTGGTACACATGAGTGACATGGAGTAGTGAGTAGTCTCTGTATAATAAATATGGCCATAAAGAAACTAAGTGGTTTCAAGGAGATTATGTAATGAATATACAGTATGTAGAGAGCTACTTTTTATCATTGTCTTATTACAAGATGTTTTGATGTGAATAAATACATTTGAAATATTTTATATATAATCGGATGAATGTGCAATAGGACACCTTTTCAGCCCCACTTATAGTGTAAATAAAAAATGTACAGGCAATCCCAAAGTTACATACATCCGACTTACATAAGACTACTTACAGACGGAGGCTATTACTGTACAGCAGGGGTAGTTGTAATGCTACCGCGCTCATGCTGACGAGGAGTGTCCGCCTTTTTGGGTCTGGTTTGTAGTACTGTACGTACATTACAGGAAGTTGGCTCTTGTTAGACTGCAGACGAGGGGTGCCCACCTCTTCTTCCAGGTCACTGAGATTTTTACTGCTGTCTGTATTCTCATTAGAAAGATTTAATCTCACTTCCTGTCCGTGAGACAACAGGAAGTGAAAGAAAATCTACCCCTAGGAAGGGAAATTCAGTCCTGTAAGAGTGATCATGGCAAAAAGGTGTCTCCACTGAAGCTTTATCACCAATCCTTGTGTCCACGACAACCCAAAATTTTCAAAATCTAATTGTCACAGGGACAGAAATCTTCTGAACAGGGGCACACACAGCAAAACAAACGTTACAGGGGGTAAACCCTCCCCTATGCTAACCAAAACTAAAATAAACATTTTTGGCTGGAGTTACAATTAAAACATTTACCTGTTCCAACTTGCATACAAATTCAACTTAAAGGAGAACTATGAGGTGAGTGCTTTTCACTCACCTCATAGTTCTAGCCGACCTGTGACAATGAGACTGTCACAGGTCGGCTCAATAGATCTAGAGGTGAGAGAACACATACCGGCGTTCGCTCACCTCTCGATCCTGTCACAGCCCTCTGCCGTGACAGGGGAGGGGCTGGATTCCCCCCTCCCTGATCCGCCAGCGCTGACTGGCGGATCGGACGAGGGAGGGGCGGGTACAGCTGGCTCTGCCTCTAGATAGGCAGAGCCTGCTGTAGCTCGCGGTATACTGAGCTTAGGGTGACGGGAGGATGCTAGTTTGTGTCCTCTGTTACCCTAAGGAGAACTATGGGGAAAAGCCTTAACCCCATATTTCTCCTTTAAGAACAAACCTACAGTCCCTATCTTGTTCGTAACTCGGGGACTGTCTGTACTTCTATCTTTAGCCTTCTGTATCTCTGGATCTACTGATCATTTTAATCTGCAATTTTCATTAAAGATAACCTCTGCTTAGGCGTTTTGTCACATGCTCAATATGAATCATATATGATTGTCATTGTTTTATTTAAGTCAACAGAAATCTACAATACATTTTATTTCTAAAGTATTCCAAGTTATTTTAAAGAAGATCTCTTAGCTGTGATCTTACTTCCTTTAAGCAGTCCCCACTTTGTTCCTCTTATCACTTTCTGTACATAACCTCTCAGAATTAGTAGAATGAGGAAGTGGAGCTTTACATGAATAGATGGCCTTGAATGCCAAAACATCTCTTTGTGAAAGAGAATGTCTGGCAACAGTAATATCCATTCTTGAACTGCTCATCCAGGAAACACTGCAGCTTTGTCTAATCTAGGAAATCAGTTATTTTAGCTTTAATCTGTTTTATGTAATCCAGGTAGATTTCAAGAACACTGCATGTGCTTCCTGCTTGAGTTTGCCCACACTGGTCACTTCATCCTGTGGTATGCAACTTTCTTTCTTGGTTTCTGGGGTGGCGTGTAGGGAACGTACTGCCAAGCCTGCAAATGTTTTTGTAGGGATGCACAGATACTTTTCAAGTACCAATGCCGATACTTGGCATTTTCATGAGAACTACCAGGGTTGCAGCTGGGACCTGGCTCTGGCGCTCCCCCACTATCCTGAAATCATTAGTCAATATTGTTTTCGAAAAACTGTCACATGACTATAAACAAAAATGTATCAGTACTCGTACTTGTAAGTACTTGGGCAAGTATCAGTACTTGTACTCGCAAAACTGGTATCGGTGCATCCCTTTATTTATATTTATAAAACTAAAATCATACATTAAAACAGAGATGTACAAATCCCAGGAGCTCCATGTGCTCCTTACAAATGACAGCTTCCTCCTAAATTTTGAATTTTCTAGTCTAGTCTTGGAGTTCAAAAAGTATCGGTACATGTACTTGTACTTGCACCGAGTACTGTACTTGGTATCAGTGATCCCTAGTTTTCAGTAGTTTTTATTAAGGTGTTTCAGGGGTTACAGTTGTGCAACATAATATACATGTACAACATATATCAGATGAATGTATAACATTGAT